CCTCAAGTCTTGTGTTTATCCCTCGGGATAGATACAGGATTTGAGGTAGAGCGCTCTTTCTTTAAACTGTGAAAAATATGAGGTCAGTTTGATTTCATATTTTTCTAAAATTATATATATATATACGTAAATTAAAAAGCCCTTCCGAAGCGGGTGACGGGATTTTGATTCCGGCTGCCGACAGCTTCTTACGGGCGACCCCCAAACATAACTTTCTCCTTTTTTGTGCCGACAATCCTATCGTCATGATCTTCACCTCCTCGATCAGCCCATTCACCGTGAAGTATTGCTCCACCCTGTATACCTACCCATGTGTGTCTTCCCAATCCAAGATCTACATCTTTAATTTCCTAACCCTAGCATCTCCATCCAATTTTCTCTCCCTCCATTGTTTTCCCCCATGTATCTAGGGTAAAACTCTCTCCTTCAATCAAAGTCACACTCCATTCAAGCTTTTCTCCTTCCTTCTTTGTGCTCCTCCACACCCCTTGCATAACCTCTTCTCCATGTTTCGGCATAACCTCTTCTCCATGTTTCGGCATAACCTCCTTCATCGAAAATCTCTAATCTAGCTCCCATCAGAGCCCTAGGAAGGGATTCTTGATGGTGAATGCTTTCCTGATCATGTTCCTGTCATCGGATCTCTTTTCCTTTTAGCCAACGAATCTACGGTCAACCCTTGGTTACAGTTTCTAAATTGATCTGCTGATAGGGTCTTGGATTGCATCTCAATAAGCCTCCACATCATCTCCTCCAAGACCCTACTAGCAGGGTCTTTGTTTGCATCTCATATGTGACACTCATGTGGAGTGAAATAGTGTTGGCTAATATGCATATTCACAGCAATAGCCTCATGGAAGAGTTCACATAAAGCTAATGATGATGTTAATGACACTCCTAAATTATAAGGATAGTCCAGAGATCCATTATAAAAAGCATTGGCAATATCCCGATACTTAGAAACATTCAAAAGTAGCATTAACCACGGAAATACATTAAGATAGCTTTTGCCAGAATTTCCATTGAACTCAACGGTGAAAAACATAATCCAACAAGTAAAATTTCAGTTTTTTCTCCTCTTCCCCGAAACGCAATGACTTAGACATGTTCCATATCAATTTGAAGTTGATTATTAAAAGGATTGCAACAATTCCAAGGCAATTAGCTTCCTTGCCACTTCTTCCAATTCATTCAGTAAAATTCTTCCATATTCATAGAAGATGATCTCCTGAACCCTCGAATTACGCAAAAACCAATATATAATAATTTAACAGCCAACACCAATTCGATGAACATACGTGCAATCAAGAACGATAAAACAAGGTCCCCCAGAATCTCACGCAACATAGAACAGATAAAAAGAATCACAAGCTCGCAGCAGTCAATACGTAGATAGAAAGCCATAGCTAGGGCATGCGATCCAATCGAAAATAGGAAGCCAAAATTTATGAGAGCCCACCTTCCGACATGCTCAGCGAGGATAAGCCGCAGCCCATCACCGGAGATAACCTTCAACAATGGCGGATGCAGGATAAAGGGCATCACACCGGTGGCGCCCAGCGATCGGAGGGTAGCCAAAACTCTCTAGCTTTTGGAGACGGGTGACTTGCTTGGGTTCCAGGCCACTCCTACTGGCTGCTCGTGAGAATCGAAGCAAAATTCCCTTTTTTTTCCCCCCGTTTTTATTATTAGCCGTAACCACCAGCATATTTTTCTAAAGTAAGATTTACATTAATTTCCTTAGAACCGGCTCGTTGTTCGCGAACATCTCTGTTCGGCTTTTTAAGAAACTCGTCTTTGACTTGTTAATTTCGTTCAATAAATTAACGAGCTGAACACGAACTAAGATGTGTTCGTTCGTGTTCGCTTTGTTTTGGCTCGAAATACCACTCACCGAATTTATATATATATATATATATA